GATACTAATACCAATCCTACTGTATGTCATACCGTTGTGATACTGTAAACCTAAAGTATCCAATACCCGAATTCGCTACAACTCAAGCATCCGACGCCTAAATACCTGAAAAGTTACACCTCACAACAATCCTTTCTAATATTTTTCTTGTGAAAATCTTTTATAGACCTAAATTTACAGCATATAAAAGCAGATATCCAAATAATATTTCTAATTTAGATATATAATAGAATAACTTTTCTTCAATATTAGAAAATTATCTAAAATTATTAAGCGGATTCTTAGATAATATAAAGAAATTAAAATAATTATTCTTTTCATATTATTTTAGAATTAATAATTTATATAATAAAGAAATTCGAAGATATAAATATTTCGAATATCTAAGCAAAAAAATCAATTAAATTCGTAATCTTTATTATATTTTATATTTATACAATTAAATTTAATATCCAAAGTCGCTTCTTCTTTCTTATAAATAATACCTCAATATCGAAAATCTCTATTAATACCTTTCTCCTTTATTTATATTCTCTTTATAGATTTTATTTCTTATCAATCAAATAATAAACCCATATAGACTCTTTATATCTAAGAAAAACCTAAATTTCTATCCATTACCTCTCGATTTATTTATCTATACGAAAATAATTTCTATCAAAATACCTTTCTTATTATTTTTTCACTTAGAAATACAATATTTTTTAGTTTTATTATATTCCACTTATATCGATTCTCTTAAAATTCATAATCAAATTTGTATTTGAATTATTTTTTTAAATTTCTTTAGTCCATCTATTTTTTAGATTATATATTCAAAGTCTTTTTAATATCCATCATTATAATTCATCCATATATTCACCTATTTAAGAGAAACTACTTCTATAATTTTATATAAAATAACTTATTATATAAAGACGATATCTTCGTAGCAAAACATCAACCGTATATCTTATAAACACGAACCTATAATTTATTCTTTAACTATCTATCAATTTTCTATTAAATAGTAATAGTTTACTAATATCAACATAAAATTCAAACCATATGTATAAAGAAATTACAGTCTTATCGAACGATAGAAAACAAATATTATATAAAGATCGAAATACTATAAATATAAACATCCAAATATTCAATTTTGAAAGACAACGAAAACATTAACGAAATACAATAGAAAATCCTAGACAAAAAAAGAAATCATTAGATAATAAAATCCCACTAACAATCCAACTCCATCATACTTTTTGAATAAATACAAAACAAAAAAAATTCAAACCCAAAAAAATAATAAGTCGTTCGAAACTATTATACAACTATTCTTCGAATAATTCTTAAATTCCTTCTATATTATAGGGTTGCGGCCTCTTCTCTTCTCCCTTTCATAATACCTTTCTTCCCATCGTCTTTGTAGGGTGGGCCAAATCAAAATTTATGTCTCCGTATCCCCGTCCCGCCCCTCTAATTTCTTTAATTATGCTATAAGCACACAACACAAAGCACAAAAATCTCTTATTACGACTCATTATTCAATTACTATTACGCGTAACATTAAGAACTTATTCTCATCTTCTCCACCAGCATTCATGCATCTACCCACATATAGTCGCTCGGCCCACATCCGCCGATCTTGAAGTTTTCTTGTTGTAGCACCGGTGATACTGCTCATGAAATTGTGCTGCTCTAGACGGCAACGCGAGTCGACAATCGGATAATCTTTGACATCATGCTCAACATCATCATTGTCGTCGCCTAAAAGGAATGGCTGCCACCATCACCAATGCGGGATTGCCGCTTTCCGCAAAGGGCAGGGGTGGGGTTCCAGGTGGTGGGGGGGTGGAAGTGCGGCACCCCATTTCCGCGCAGCAGGGCAGACATCCCCAAGCAGCAGGGTACCATAGGCCCGGGGGGGGGGTGGGAGTAGGGGCCGGGACGCGAGAGCATGTGTACTCATTTGCTCTTATCTACGAGAGATATATAAATTCATCCAATAACACGTTGCAGTCCAAGTGAATATATTGTCGCATAGCGGAGGGCTGGCCAAATTGGGCGAGGGGAGCCTTGCGAACCGCCACATCACCATGAAATGCGTTCCGCTAGGGGATGTGATACAACTGTGTTGTGAATCCGAAGCCACCATAGGAAGTCGGATGACACTGCCCTGTGAGGGCAAGCCCTGGGACTAATTATAGATCCCAGTGCTTGAGGGACTTGTTTGAGAGAGACGGAAATGCATGTCGATGTTGCCCTGCGTGATCTTGCACATGTTCGTGTAAAACTCAACTCGAAAGTGGTAAACCCAGAGACATCCTGGGCAAGGGGTCGGGAAAGCCAGGAATGGTTGCTCCATTGTCAACAGACGCAAAGCTCAAAGCGCCTCATCCTCGTTTGAGGGGCGCTCGCTTCACGGTTTCAGGTCGCAGAGAGGCTTGCTGAGGGGCTCCAGTAGCTCCGGCCTCAGCGGTGCTTTCCAAACGTGGGGAACTCAACGAGTTTGAAATTCAGGTCAGAGGTCGAGGGCTCAGGTGTCTCTCTATAGGCTTGTACATCACCCCGACGGCCCGATGGCTCGAATGCTTCGTGTCGGGAGTAAACGCACGGTTGTGGTCTCGTGGTGCTCTGCAGACAAGCAGCCCGCGATTCAATAGGAAAGCAGCTGCGCAGCTAGTACCAATTGACTTCGGTTGCTGCGCCTCTTCTCTCAGCCGCTGTGCCTTTCGCAGATTCGAAGCGACTGTGTACCGTTCAGAGTCAAGGTGAAATCCCGCCTCCGTGGAGATCCACAAGGCCGTTGCTGCTGCCACGGCGCCTCTTCTCGCTAGGCCGCGGCCGGAGCCCCGGAGATTTGCGCTCCGAAAGCCCAGGCCCCGGAGGGCCGTTTCTGCCGGAGAGCGGGCGCGCCTCGGGCTTGAAATTCCACTTACTGGGCCCTTTCCCAAACCATCTGGAGCGGGCGCGAATCCTGGATTGCAGCGTGGTGGTTGAATATCCGAAGCACAGCGATATCTTCTTACAGCTGCGCCATGTAGATTTCTAGCATTCCTTACAACCCCCCAGCGCTTAGCGATGCACGATGTTTCAGCAAAGTATCTAGGCAAGATTGTGCAACCTAGCAAGCGGTACAATCCACAAGCAGCCAGAAGTGTCCACCAAGTAAGCGGCCTCTAAGAAGAGCGTGCTTCTGTCAATGTCGTATCTTCAAGCTAACAGAAGCTCTGCACAGCTCTTGGGCCCTTGATTGTCCAAGTTGCAATCTGGGCGATAGAGGACTTGTGCGTGCAGCCGCCAGGGCCTGGTCTTAGTGGAAGGTAGGCCCCGGCACATACTTTACACAATTGCCTCGGCTGTTGCCCTGGGATGCTGCTGGATGCATTGAAGGAGGTACTTACCTTCTCATGTGAGACTTCGCATTACTCTATGCCGTGCTTTTTCTGCTGCCAGTACTGGGTTTGATTCAACCCTTTCCGCCTATATCACAGTCATGCCCCCAGCTCAACTGTATTGCCGGCATTGCCATCGTAAACCTATTGAATGAATGTCACCAGCGCATGCCAGCAGCAGTGCTTGCAGTCTTGCAGTCGAGCTGCGGGGTATCTAGGCATTTTTGGTGCCGCGCTCCTGGGAGGCGGCGAAGCACCTGCAGGACGCGCCTCCGACTACTTCAGACGAAGAGCGTCTTCGCTTCCTGTGTTGGTCCCTTGCCTTCCATGCTGCTCAGCACCAGGCCTTGACCCATTTGACCCCAGATCGGCAGCGCCGGCAATGCTGAGCCAGAAAGAACGGCCTGCATTCGTTGCAGCATGAAGACCAACTCCGTCGGTCTGCAAACATGTGCAACACCAGGTCCGACTGCTCCGCCTTCTGCACGCATCGTGCGTGCCCTATCAACTATAGTACAGCGGCCCATGCCCACAATCCACACCTGCTCGAGCTGGGCCAAGTGCTGAAGCGCAGGCAACTCCTCAGCGCCTTGGCTGCAGCGGTTTAATTTTACCATTAATCGCCCGAAGACAGGCAAATGGACGGGTGCCTGAGAGGGATCCTGATAATGTGTGGCTTCATGAGGCCAGGCACATGCATCTAGTCACTGGCAAAGACGACTTGACTTACAGCTGGACCACGGCAGCAGGCGGCTATTGGCGGCTGCTCTTTTCACTCAACCGTAAGCGTGCAGCACAGAAAGCTCCGTGCATGCCTCGATTTCGTTACAGCATGCGGGGCCAGGGGTGCTGCAGAAAAAGCCATTTCAACCAGGACAAGTCGCCCGCAGAAAAAGATGAACCAGGTTCCTGCACGCCCAGCAGTCGCCCAGGCCGCTTTGTCGGCGGAGGAGCAGCTGGAGGCTGTGGCCTGTGCCTAGCGGCAGCTGCAAGGAACGCCAATGTGCCAGACAGCTGCAACAAGGAAGTATCTGGTAATATCTGGTATCATGGGCGAAGGCAAGTTGTCGAGGTTTTGGAGCCCTTTGCAACGATCTGCCTTCGAAGTCTCGAAGTGAAGCGTCCCAGCTCGGGGCCCTGTCAGCTGCAAAGCATTTGGTCTCGGCCGAAGACGAGCTTGTTTGTTTCAAATCTTGTCGGGCAAAGGACTCGAAGACGAGGAATGGATGCAAAAGCAGGCATTTGTGCACAGTGCACACCGAGATGCTTCAGAGACGATGTCGCAGGCAGAGTCTTTGTCTTCCAGGAGATGTTCCTCACAACAGTTGCACTGGCTTCAACAGGCCAGGGCGAAAGCAGCAATCGGGTCTCCTGCAATACCTGCTGTGTAATCTGTGCCATTAGCTCATGGCAGTCTGGTGAATGCAAGGCATTGTCTGGAGCGTCAGCATCCTCGTCCATGCCTTGACAACTGCACGACCAGCTTCAAGTGGAGCAAGACGATCAAGTAACTGTGTTATCTAACCTTCTCTAGTACGAGCAAGTGCAACACGCCCCGTCACGAGATGGAGGCCTTCGACCAGCTCAGCTGCTGCGTCTTGCAGCGGCTCTAGGCTGACTCTCGAGGCCGAAAGCTGCAGAGTGAGAAGATGCGTTGTGCAGGCACAGGCCCGGAGTCCCATGGCTACAAAAAGCTTCCACGGCTTCCTCCCCACCCCCCGGGCCAATCAACTTTATCAATGAATAGAAGTGCCGCAGTGGCGAAAGCACCAGGCTGGTGCAATGATCTCCCAAACGCCTCGCTTCCCTAGCGCTTCTCAGATCCCACGTCCGCGCAGGTCCAAGAAGGCATCGAACGGGGACGCCTAATGAAGCAACCTCTATGGCAGAACGACCATCTTGATTCTGTTCCTGCGTCTTACGGTGCCAGTCACAGGCCTCGGAGGTCACACGGTCACATTAACTTGAGACAGTCACGCACAAGTTAAAATACGAGCTAAACTCATTGGAAAACGAAAGCTGGATTGTGCTGGACAGCTGCTTTGTCAGCTCATGATCCAAGAGTAGGATGCGAAAAAGGCGCCAGCCGGGCATGCATGAATGAGTAATCTCTTAAACAGTTTCTTCACTCATCGAAAATCGCGCATAGGGCGACGAGCTTTGGTGGCCACAGTTGGGGGAAAACAAGGGCACTGAATGTGCCGAGAGTGGACCTCGGCCAAGAGACGGCGATTTCCTGTGCGAAACGGAAGGACGCCGAGGCCGACACCACCAAAAGCTTCACTGCAGGGTCTCTAGCAAACCTTGCCAAGTACACATTGAATGGGCAATGGGTACCTAATTTGATGTTTGTCCGAGCCTGCTTGTCGGCTTCCAGAGTAACCATTGCAGTGGCACCCCCGAGCATCTCCTTCACGCCCAGCTCCTCGAAAACGGCCTTGCGGCGCACAAGTATCAGCGCTTGCTGTGCAACGCTCGCCGCACAGGCACCGCTCCGCGCTAGAACATGAGCGGCAGCAGACATGAGCTGTGGTTTTGCGGCGCTTCCGCATGCGAGGCTTTAGCTTCTGCCGGCTCAACTTTTATGTCGCTTCCGCGGCTCCCCTCCACGGTGCCGTTTTCGATACGTTTGCAGGGTTTGTTTCCGCAGGCAGGGCCAATCCTGAGGAGGCTGTGTGCTTGGGGCAAACCTCGCGCTTATAAACTTATAGATGAGTATAGCAGTATGCCCAGTTTTCACGGTCTGAAAGCACAAGTCGCGCTTTGAAGTCGAACATGTGGTCGGTGGGGCACCGCTCTCGAGCCTGCAATCCTGTGGAGTCTGCAATCCTCCCTGAGTGGCTTCTGGGATATCTCTGGCATGGCTCATCTTTGTATGAGCTTCCGCGAACCTTCCGCCGACCGACTGCTTCGGCTTGCTTCCGCGCACACAGTCCCGTGCATTCTTGTTCGACCGAAACGAGTCTTATTTCAAGGCCTAGTCATACTCATAATGAAGGAAGCGTGTAAAAAGCAACGGCTCACATGGCAGCACCTCGTACTGCAAGGCCGCATTGCTCCAAGTGAACTCTGCGGAAGCTGCCATGGCGGCCTTTGTCATCTCCTTGACCTGTCAAGGCTCTCAGGCTCCACATGGCTTCACTACAGCCGCAGACACGCTCTAGTCCGGCTGCAAGGTGCATGATGGTGCATGCTCATTGCTTACGACGGAAGCCCGTTCCAGTACAATCCGACGACTGAATTACTACCTGTACAGATGGGCAAGCCTTGGCGGGCTCCTGCATGTACAGATCTGCAGCTCGTTTCAAGGCTTTCGAGATCGACGCCACGGACTCCTGCTTGAAGCAAACCGTCATCGCAGTTGAAAATGTGAAGGCCGACAGATTCTGGAAGGGGCCTCGTCTACCACGGCCTCGACGGACATTTCCTTGTCCGTCCAAATGCCGTTGAGGCCATCCTGACGCGGACATCAAAAGGGGCGCCCGGCAACCAGCTAATCGAGGCATCCCATGTTTGCACGATTAAGCTTCCGGGATCCGACACGCAACATTTATCGGCCACTAAAACTAACGGCAATTTAATGCAAGTGGCTAGGTGAAGAAAGCAAGACGTGCCTCCACGGTGTCTTTCAAGCCGCCGGTGGGGGCGACGATGGGCAGGGTTCCCATGCGCATTGCCTGACATTGCGCCAGACTCAAACATCCACTTTGATCCTCGGGGCTCGGGGTGCGGCCTCCATCTGTACGAGGCCGCAGGGCTCCCACCTGCAGTTTCCCAACAGTTTGGCCAAAAGCTCCATGACTCGACATCCGCAAGAAGGAGATTGAATTCCTTGCGCGCGCCCCCGCCTGGAAGGCAGCAGCGTGAAGTCGCAGCCAGCGAGGAGAGCATAGCGCTCCGGGCCCATCCAGCCTGTTTGCTGGTCAGTCTTCGCACAGTCGCTCTGCTCTGCTCTGGCCGGCAGTGCTTCGCGGCTTTCGAAGAGCTGGCGCCTGCGTAGAAGAACTTGCTGGGATACTTCTTCTCCACGGCCTTGGTCCTCAGGAGCGGAACTCGCAGTCACAGGAGGCCGCTGGCCGCTGGTGCCTTCTGCTTCGAGCGTGCCACCGCGCTGGGCCCCGTTCTCGGCCCCTGGCTGTGCTACGAGGTCTGCTCGGCCGGAGCCGACGATGACAACCTGGAGCTCGGTGTCCTTGTGCAATGCAGGCACAGCAGCAATTTTGGGGCGAAGGAGCGGGCTCGCCGGTTCGCCTCGAGGATCTCCACCAAGGACTCCAGGAGCAGGTCATAGCCCTTCTGGGCATCCAGCCTTGCCAAGTGCCAGAAGCGGGGGAGAGCATGGCATAGGCGAGCTAGGGATAGCCGGATCGAGGTGCGAAGCGCGCCTTCCAATAAAGCACATCAACGGTCCCTTGGACTCGGGGAGGTTATTCTGTGCTCGGTAGGTGGCCTGAGGAGGGCAACGACATGCACGATCACTAGTCAAGCTGCACTGGTTTGCATACCATGTCATGCCTTGAGCTCAGCCTTTGCCTCCGCTGCCGTGGCAGCCTCGTCCAGAAGCACCGGGGATATTCAATGCATTGCTTCCTGGAAGCTGTAGGGAGCACGCAGTAAAGACTCCGCACGACATCATGGTCTTCGTGACGAAGTTCTTGTCGCTGGGAGTGACTCCTTCCTTCACGCCGTTGAGAATTCCTGCGCCGTACATTCACCCGTCTCTCTGGCGCTGGAACCTTGCAGCATTGCACATGACGTAACTCCGACCAGCCTGTGCACTTGCCCAGGGCGAAAAGGTCTTCCAGTTCAACACCCTGCTGGACGCGGTCGTCAGGACAAGGACTGACTTCCAAATAGTGAGCTCCAGCAGAAGACCCGGTAAATCCGCCTTCTCCGGGTCCGTGCAGCACTCCACGGCATAGCTCGGGGACACGGTGAGGACCTCTTTTCGGGCTTCGACGCTTCAGCGTCAGCGCTTTCAGACGCCGGTCGACTTCGCTCCAGCGAGCGCTTTCAGAGCGTCGGAAAGAAGCCGGGGGCGGGGCCCTGTCGGCATATCGAAGGCCAGCTGCCATGGAATTGACACAGCTGACCTCTCGGTCGTCCGGAATCGATCGCTGAGACTTGTCGCTACGATGCACGCCTTCTCGTTGTATTTTCCGATGCGAAGGGGCATCTTGAAGGTGATGCTGTCGATGTAGCGCTCTGGCACTCCGAAGATGCCGGCCAATCCTGACCCACGATCGGAGATCATCTGATTCAAAGAAGAGGTTTCGGGCATTGGGGGGCCTTCTTCGCGCACGAACCGGCCCTGGAACACGGCGTTGTGGTTCAGAAAGGCGGACTTCGTGTTCTGCCACTTGCCTGGCTACTCTCCGAGGGCGCGGGGCCGCTCCCAATTACGGGATGTTCCGACTCCGGCCTGTGGCTTTCTCAGCATGGATGAACATCGGAACAAGGGCCGAATGCCAATCGTTGCAGACGACCATGCAATCGCCACCGTACCTCAGTTAACTCGAGCAGCGTCTTGCGGTCGAAGGAACAAACGGGGAAACGAGATTCAACAACATGGCAGATCAAATCTGAATGCGGATGGGCAGGCTCCTTGTTTCCGTTTCAGAATCAATCTTGTGACAGCACTAGAACCCTTTTGTACCATTGGAATACTTACAGCAGTCTGCGCAGGAGGCTTCACTCGGTGTCGGGGGCCTCGTCTGGGCACTCGTAACTTGGATTCACCGGCTCATCATCGAAAACTTTTGTTGTAAGTTTCTGATTGTAAGCTTCATCGAGAAACTCCGGCTTAGTCAGGTCCTGCGATTCTTGGAGCCGATGTAGCTAAGAAGCCTCTGTCCCACGCGGCCTCTGCGGGTTCGTCCAAGCTTGTAGAGGTGGTTCCCGGCTGCATCCAATAGGCGAAGCATGCGCACGGTGAACCACGCCGTCCAGCCGAGTGCTTCTGCTTCGGCGTCCAACATGCCGAGCGACGAGACAGATAAGCCAAAGTGAGTGAGTGGTCGGTAAAGCAAAATGAAGTTGTTCTCGAGTTGCTGCAGCTGTTCTTTGCGACTTGTTACCTTCTTGCCTGCTACCCAATTGGAGGCGAGGCGAACTTTGTGTTTGGCTGCCATAAAAATGCCGGCGTGGATCACACGTGGGACGAGAAGGGCGGGATTTCTTTGCGGAGGGCAAAGCTTTTCAGGCGAAAAAGCGCAGCTTTGTCAACCGGAGGGCCGAGGTCTGCAGACGAAAAAGCTCTGCTTTTTCAACCTGAGGGCTGAGGTTTTCGGAAGGGGCGGCAAAAACTTCAGCCCTCCGGTTGAAAAGCTGTGCCTTGCAAAGCCTTGCCCTCCGCAAAGAAACTCCGCCTATCTCGTCTCATCCACGCCGGCATTTCTATGGCAGGGGCAGCCAAACACGAAGTTCGCCTCGCCTCCGCCCTGGGTAATAGGCAAGAGGGGAGCAAAGGTGCCGGGTCGCAAAAAACAGCAGCCCAGCTGCTGCTTGATGATCTGACCATTCTGCTCAATAGCAGCACTCTGTGTGCTATGGCTTTTGGCAGCCTGGTACTCCAGCGTAAGCACAAGGCTCTGCGCTGATGATGTGTCGGACTGGCCGGTTACTGCATTCTGCAGCGTCGTCGTACCCAAATCATGAACTGCCTGGCTCTCGCTCGTGTTGACCCCCAATCCCTTATCGCTTGTGCCATAGCCGCTTATCATTGGAAAGTCTAACAAGGTGTCGAAGCAGAAGTCGTAAACTCTAAGCCCAAAACGCTGCAGTTACTGTGACTTCTGTTACTACTACTGCTGCTCCATGGCATCGCGCGGTACTGGTGCTATCTGTGCTGCAAGGTGAGCAACGCGCATTCATTCATCATCGTCTCGGGGCTTTCAGAACGGGCGTGCCGAAAAGGCGCTTGTCGCAGCTAGCCCACTCATGGTGCTCATGATACTGGCTCCATGGTGCACAACAGGTCCTCATGGTGTCGGCACTTTCAGGTACGAACACTTGACACCTAACGAAGCCCTGCGTGGCCTCTGGGCAAAGCCCCATGCTCTTTTCAACGATGATGCTGAGGGCCGGGCACGGCGCCGCCCAGAGGCAGCTCCTGAATGGCCTTCAATGCCGCCTTGCAGAAATAGGCGAATCGCGCCTGATTGTCTGCGAAGTCCTGCAAGGACCATGTAAAGTCTGCGAGCTGAAACCAACATGAGTTTATAGGTCACTTTGGTCCTGCCCCCACTCCGGGCCGTACAACTTGGCTCCTGTCCAAGCTGTGGAAGCGGGCGCCAGAGTGGAGGGCTGAGAATCGGCAATACGGCTTCCCGCAGCGGCCAACCGAGCTGGCACGCAGTCCTGTCTGTCCGTAGACCCTCTCCAGGAATGTGGGGTGATCGACGAAGACATAGTCAACCTTTGCTTTCGGAGACATTGGGAACGGGTGGGTGTAGCAGGGCATATGTCACAGCAGCATCAATCGCTCAGAGTGGCCTTCTGCTTGTAGGTGTGGAAGAAGTGCACAGATTCGTTCTTACCACCCATCGGCAGGGAGCTCCAGTAACCGGTGTCCCACGCCTCCTTGTACTGGTCGTAGCCTAGCAATCATATCACTTTGTGAGAGATCTTCGGATAAACTTCTCAACCTGTCTGAATGCGTCATGGCTGTGTGCTACTTGCTGCGAGGGGCGTGGCGAGATCACCATGCAACGATGGCCCAGGGCTGCCAGCGCAATGGGCAAACCGTCCATGGCTTCTCCGAGTCCTTACGCAAGGGCACGACTCACATCTGCCCTGGAGAGGGCTTCTTCAGGAACATGGTGCAACGCAGCTCAGATCGTGCCCCAGAAAGTGTCCTCCAGTCTTGGAGAACGGTGCGACCTCGCTTGTGACGAAGACGATCCTGTCCAGTTCCCAATCTGTGCCCGCTTTTTCAATTCGGAAGCAGGCAGGGATCTGCTGTGCTACGTGAAGCAGGATTTTGCCACCGATGTGCGTTCACCGACTCGACAGCTATCGCGACGGCTTTCAAGTCGGCTTTCCTGCTGCCAAGAGACTGGTACTTCTTTCCAATAGTGGCACGGAGCTTACCGTCTGCCATGGAGAAGGCAGGGCTGCGGCCCTGCCAGCAGCTCTGTCGACGAAATCCCCGGGTCCATCCACGGCGATAGCACGTCAGTCCTCTGCCAGTGCCCGGCCCACAGCCACCGCAGGAGGTCCCGCCTGTGCTATCGACAAAAACACACCACAACATCAGAAGGGCAGACGGGCAGGTGCACAAACTGCACAAAGCGGAGAAGGATATGCCGCGGTCCAACATGGTCCAACCTTGGGCACGTCGAGAGCCTTGCCATCGGGCCCTGTCACTGTCACATACGAAAATACAGGGCCATTCAAGGCAATGACAATCAATGACATGAGGCGTGCCAGGCATGCTGTCGGAATGCCTGTCGCCGTGGCTGGAAGTACGGCACCAGCTGCCTGCCCCGAGACATCCCAAGACGACTCGGCTCATGTCTGCTGGTGTCCGATCTTGGTCGCGGCCTTGGCATAACCTCTGGCAGGTCCTACGGTGCTGGTGGCATAGGCAGCGCCGCTCGTCTCTCCGGCCGGCACGGGCTTGCCACTCACAATGTTCAGCACCTGAAAAAAATCAAGGGGCGAGGCAACTGTAACTGGCCAATTCTTGACTGGCCATGCCGCTGAATGCTGATTCTGCTTGCCAAGCAACGCTTGCGGGTGCCACCTGAACTGGCGCGGTGGTAGTCGTGCTGGCGTACTTCGAAGTGGTGGGTGCCGCTGCTGCAGGCTTGGCCTTTGCCTTGCGTCAGGACTCAAAGGGCCGGAGGCTGAAGGCGAAATGTCTCTGCCAGTCCCCAAGCCTTGGGGGCCTCGGCTTTAGCACCGACACCTGGTCGCGAGACTTGGCCAGAAGAGAGCGTGCAAAGTCTGGTCCAGATCACGGATGGTATCACCAGCTTCCGCGAAGCTACTAGACGGGCTTCTTGAAGGAGGATCCTTCGAGCCTCCCCTTGGTCCCCTCGTCTGGCACGAGTGCCCACAGCCAAGAACTTGTTTGGCCGTCTCAAATATTCCGGAATTTCTTCCGAGAAGGAGGAGAGGGAGAGAGAGTGAGAGAGAGACAGAGAGAAGTAAGGGAAGGATCGACCGTGTAAGAAGAACTTCATGTAGTTGGTTTCTCTCGTACCTTTCGCAATATGGGACCTGGGAGGCTGCTTGAAAGGTGCAGACTCGTCTGATAGACGCGCTTTGCAGGGAGCCTCGTGCCAATGAGGAACCTGTCGCCGCCATGCGCTCTGTTGCAGTAGCCGGCTTCTTGCCCTCCTGTCAAATCATGATTGAGTCAATGTTTGAGGATGCTTGCAGGCAATCCGCGACAAACTCAAGCTGGCTCCACTATCCGCCGAGGCCGGAGGCCCCAGGCGTTTTGATCCGTGGGTTCGGGGAGTTTGGGTGGTTGTAGCAGTAGCAACCCACCCCCACCCCTTCCAGCGGCGCGATTTTCCGCCGATCAGCTCCAATTTCGCTGCTTTTTTTGGGGAAGGGGGGGGGGAGGGCGCGGGTGAGGGTAGGGAGGGAGGGGGGTTGGGGGGTTGGGGTGGGTGGGGAGCGGAGGGACAAGCTGCTCCCGAACCTAGCCTCGACTACCGTTGCCGAGGCGGCCTCGCGTTAGCGATAAAATTATCGCCAGCTGGAACAACATAGTTTAACAAGAAAACGAAATGTAGCTGTGTCGTGGTTGCACACTATCGACTATCGACGTATCTCCGTCCGCCTTCGATGTAAGTCTAATACCTTTCGTTTCGCGTCAGTGACCGAGCTTTCTTGAATTTTCCCGCGAACCATTTCTCATAAAGCCATTGGACTGGACCACTAATTTGGGCAGAACCCTGACTATCAAGAATCTGAAGTATAGTTGTCGCGTTTGACGCATTTGCACGCCGTCTCAGTTAACGTCTGAGCTTTATCAATTCCTCCTGTGTGCCATGTATCTCAAATCTACAGGAACGGATTACCTGGAAAGAATTCTGTCAACAACATGGTACACCAAGAAGCCGAAACATAGTCATTTACCTGATGTGAATTACTTAATTGGGGCCGGGAAGTAAATAATTTATATGATTCAAACAAAAATAAATAATCTGAAATCCTGTGGGTGTGGCCCCGGGACACCCCGGACTCCCTGCCCAGGATTTAAGTTAATTGAAATTATTTGGTTTGCTTAAACTACTTGAATTATTTAAATGTCCGGCCCCAATTAAATAGTTTAAATTATTGAAATCCTGGGGAGGGCGTCCGGGGGGGCCCGGGTGCCACCTTCACAGGATTTGAATTATTTAGCTTATAAGTTCTTTAACTCCTTTAATTCCCGGACCCAAGTAAATAAATTACAAAATCTAAATCCCGGTGAGGGAGGTCACGGGGGGCCACCTCCACAGGACTGAAATCATTTCGATTATTGGATTGCTTGAAAGTATATTTAAATCCCGGCCCCAATTAAATTATCCTGTGGAGGTGGCCCCTGGACCCCACGGACCCCATCCCCAGGAGTTAAATCATTTACATTATGTAACTTGTTTTAATTATTTCACTTATTTAATTGGTAAGTTAAACAGCTTTTAATCATGTAAATCCTGGGGAGGGGGTGCCCCGGACCCACCTCCACGGGATTTACAATATTTAAGTTACTGAAATAATGATGTAAATTATCTAATTCACGGCCCCAACCTAATAATTTGAATAATTTCAGCACTCACAACTGGGACATGCCGGGCGAGGATTCGAGTACGACGATCGCACATTGCCGGGAGCTAGCAGGTTCACCAGCTGCAGAAAATCAAAACGATAGCAGCCAGCACATTGACCAGCCAAAGGACGGCTATTGCTACAAATTCTTCCTTGTCAAGAAGGGCTCACACCACTCGACACACAACAGCGGGTTTGCTAAGTCGAGCATCCTTCGCATAGGCTTCTCACCTATCTGTGCCTTACGAGCTGTCTGGTCCCTGAAGCTTTCACCAACAACGGCGAGGACAGCAGGTTTCCTCTGTGCTTAAGTTTGTCAGTCGGCTCCATCAGAGCAGAGTGACAGACCTGTTTGAATAATTTAAACCCCGGACCCCAGACCCCCCTCCCCAGGATTTACATTCTTTAACTAGTTTACTTTATGTGAATTATATACTTCCCTGCTGCAATTAACTATTTTCGCTTTAAAAAAACCTGTAAATAATGTTTTTAAAGCCTGGGGATGACCCGTGGGGGCAGGGAATTACATAATTTGGATCCGGGGGTTTACGTTATTTCCCTGCCCCCATTCGCGGCCCCGGACCACCCTCCCCACGATTTGAATCACTTAACATAAGCTGATGTTAACGTCATGTTTATAAACCCCCTTCAAGTAGAAAACCTGACCCCCAGGTAACTCAATTATCAACCCCCCCTCAAACATAAAACCCGACGCCCTAAGCCAATTTTTGGGGAAAGTTTGCTGATGTCGGTCTGCTTAGCTTTGTGGGAACCAGCTCCAGATTTGCAGCGAGAAAGAGAGAGAGAGAGAGAGAGAGAGAAGCAGCAATTACGGATGAGATTTTCACACTCTCGCATTTCGGATGAGGTTGGAAGGGCTTCCGCCGGAGAGGACAGGGTCTCACAAACCATGCCCTCCTTCAGAAAAATTCCTTACTCCGGCAGTAAAAACCATTCCATCCTGATGGAGTACTAACAAAAGCTGTTCTTCCGAATTATAAACCCCCCTCAATCATAAACTCCTCTCGGGGGGGCCTTCTGGTGGTGCCTGCAGAAGCCAAAAAGGAAAGCAAGCTTTAGAAGCCAAGCTCTTCATTGGGAAAGCTTTGGATTCAGAAGGACAGCAAGCTTTAGAAGCCAAGCCCTTGATTGAGAATGCATCGAAATCAAACGGAGCTATACAAGCCAAGCCCTTGGTTGGGAAAGCTTTGCTTTACAAGCCACGGGACTCCGAAATCGCAGACTTAAAGGATCTCAGAAACCATGCCTTCCTGAATAAAAATTCCTTCCATTGGGAAAACTTTGGATTCGAAAGGACGGCAAGCTTTAGCAACCAAGCCAGTACTACGACCCCTCCAGTATTGCAGAGGGGGACAAACTGCGACCCTTCCAGCATTGCAGAGAAAGAAGAAAAACTTGCCCCCAAGAAGCAGGCTCAGAGGCAACGAGAGCTCCTCCCACACCGACCAACCCCCCCCCCCTCAATCGTCAATCCCCTCTGCCTGGGCCGAAAATCAATCAAGGGGTGGTTTATTAAAATTAAGTTAACGCTATTTAGTTCCGGCCCCAACTAAGCAATTTGAATAATCCAAATACAAATCCTGTGGAGGCGGCGCCCCCACCCCCCCCGCCCGGACCCCCCGCACACCCCCAGACCCCCTCCCAGGGTTTTTCTACTATTTAGCTTATTAACGTATTGGGAATTTTTTTGTTATTCAATTGGTGCTGGGAATTATTTAAACAATTTACATAATTTAACATCCTGGGAGGGGGTCCCGGGGGGGTCCGAAACCACCCCCAAAGAATTTACATTATTTAACTTACTTAAACCCCAACTAAATGATGTAAATGATTTAAACACATTTAATAATGTAAATCATAGCCCCCCCCGGACCCCCCGACCCCCTCCCCAGCGATTAAGTTAATTAAATCATGTAGATTATTCCGGCCCCGACTAAATAATTTTGTTTATCCAAATACGAAAACAATTTAAACAAATTGTCTAAAATCTGGGGAGGACCCGTGGGGGCAGGGGATTACATATTCTAAATCCGGAGGGGCGGCGGAAGATTTGCATTAATTCCCTGCCCCCATCCGCGCCGCCGGAGCCCCCCCGGACCACCTCCCCAGGATTTAAATCATATAAACTAGTCAAGAGACTTAATTCCCGGTCCCAACTAAATAGTTTCAAGATGTTTAAAAATTTAAACAGCTTAAACCCTGTGGAGGTGGCCCCCGGACCCCGCGGACCAGGATTCGAACTGTGTCGACTCTCACTCTCGCACAGGGCAGGCAAAAATCCTCGCAATTCCGTCACGCTTGAAAGGCTCCCAGGGCAGCAGAATGCACACCAGAACCATCTAAACCCTACCCAAACGGCCGCAGCCAGGGAGTCTCTCGGAGACATTGCTCCCTTCGCTTGCTGATCTACGACCAGTCTCCACTATGACTGTATTTAAGGAAAAAAACTTTTAAACTATTCAAATTATTTACAATATTTAACTCCCGGCCCCAGTTAAGCAATTTAGATCAATTGAATAAAATGTTTCTAAATCCTGTGGAGGTGGCGCCCGGACCCCCTTGGACCCCCTTCCCAGGATTTTTAATCTTCACTTTATTTAAATGGGGTCGGGAATTCAGTTTACATAATTTAAATCCTGGGGGGGAGGTGGCTCAGGAATTCAATTAGTTAAATTCTTCAATTGGGGCCGGGAACCACCCAGAGACCCCACATGAAATACAGTAACCCTTTGCTTGTCTACGCTAAATACTACAGGAGCGAAAACCCATGGTTCCAGTTGGTGATAGTACCCCATGTAAGCCGCACATGGGGGGGCGCCCCCACTTGCAAACAGAATGTCAATGTGCAAGCTTTTGACACGAAATTTTTGTTGGAACGAAGACACCGCATGTTTCTCAAGCACAGCGAACAACACGCCCCCCTCCTTTAGCAACCCCGATCCATCGCACAGTTGGCGATCATTTCTTAAACTGGCCTCGCCTCTGGCGATCCCCTCCTTTGGCGATCCAGGTTGATCGCTTATCTTGAACTCGCCACCTCATGAGGCGATCCCGATTGAGCATAATTCCAAAGCCGCCCCGTCATTTTCGACTCTCAATCTCGCACAGGCAGGCAAGGCTGCACACAGCAGCGATCCAGTTTGAGAACAGATCTTGATCATTACATCACCTATCTTAAGCTCGCCCGCTCTTTGGCGATCCCGATTCATCACTTAACTTAGACACGGCCCCTCATTAAGCGACCCCGGTTGATCACCGGTCTTAAACTGGCCCGCACTGTGGCGATTACGAATCATCACTTATTCTAAACACGGCCCATCACTAGGCGATCCCGGTTGATCACACATCTTAAACAGGCTGCCTCATTTGGCGATCCTGATTCAATACGTATCTCAAACACGCCCTCTCTTGAGGCGATCCCGCTTGATCACATATCTTAAACTTGCCGACTCGGTTGCCGATCCTGATTCCACCAAACTTCGTCACCGATTTTAACAGGCCCCAACATCAGGCGATCCCCGTTGATGACATCTCTTAAACTCGCCCCCCTTTTTTGCCGATCCCGATTCACATACCTAAACACACCCCCTCCTGCAAGGGGTCAATTTTTCTGACAGATGCCCAAAATCAGCAAACAGGGGGTCCCCTCAGCAAGGATCTTGCAACACCCTGCCTGAGGCCGGCAACCGAAACAACACGGAGCAAGAATCCGAACATGATCACTGCACTGATCTGGGCCGATTGCGGTTCTCTTTCCGACTGCACGCCGCTGAAGATCCTGAAGCGTCCCGTCAATGCCTTGTGTGGCAGATCATTGTACGCTCGTGAAGATGCCAGCTGAGGACCGATCCCGCCTTGACGCCAATTACCAACACGAAGAACAGCAAAACAAAGACGACAATGTTGCAAAGCGTTGGCTGGCTGTAGTGAAACTGGAAGGCCATCAGGCCTGAGCTCGCTTCATTCATCGGTGCACTTAGCTGTGCCTTCACAACTGTCTGCCGAAGAACTGTACACCAGCACGAACAGCGCCCAAGGAACCAATGAGCACCTGTTGCAATAAGAGCCACTCGCACATGCATCCAAGCGAGTCCGAGCAGCAGAGATCTCAGCCGAGCACACGATCATGGGAACGAAGTTCATTTTCCGCTTGGGCATGGGCAGCCAGAGTCCCTTGTTAAATGATTGGATTGCCTCATAACCTCAGGCACGCAAGCATGCCCGAATTCAATGCTCATGTGGCGCCCAAGAGTATGCCAGCCGAAGACAAGGTTCCACCAAACAGGCCCGAACTCTCGGGGACAAAGCCTTGCCTTGGAGAACACGATAAGGACATGTCGCGCTCGCCTTGACTCTGTTCACCAAGTACTGTAAATCCGCCGGGCTTCTGCTCGCCGCGGTATGGATTCATCCCCTGAAGAAGGAAGGCAGCTAGCAGGCGAAAGCGATTTCGCTGCAGATTTAAGGGGCCAGCAAGGAAGTACAAAGGGTCGCAGTGCAAGATGTTTCCTCGGCTTCCCACCAGATGAAACGAGTGCGCCATCACCCTTTGCAGACAACTCCAATCTTCCCCCTCAGCCTGCCAAGTACTCTACGTGCATATGCCAACAAGAGCGTGGAAATAGCAGGTCCATACGAAAAGCTGCTAGTTCCTGCCGTGCCACGCTAAGGCGGATTGGAGCGGAGTGGTATCACTCTTGGGCCGATATTTCGCCATAGATGCAAGTGGATCGTCCATTCCGACTCCGCTCTAACTTGACCGTCACAATGTATCCCTGCTCAAGTCTGCAACAAACAGGGTTGGCAAGAAAGCCACAGAACTGCAGCACTTCACGGGTACAGGGCTGCCCCACACCACAGCAACGGGACCGTAGCTGTCTCCGTCAACAGACAAACTCGCACGAACTTGAATCCAGCAAAGTACAAATCTTCCATGGATTGATTTTATATAATGTAAAGATCGAAGAAGGACGAGGACCAACAAAATGGATGCAACTGCGTTCTTCTGAGTGGAGAGATCTGAATATAGAATGAGCTGAACGAGGATATCAGCAGTCATTCTGCGGCACATTCTTGCACATATGCATGCCAGTTGGTCACCAGTTGCATCCCACTCGTTGCAGCCCCTGGCACAGTTCAGGCACGCGGTGCGCAGATTTCGCGAATAGAAATCGGCTGCCATCTGCTTCCACAGAAAGACCTCGTCGTGCTGCGTGGCACAATCTACCTTCTAAGCCTGTTGCTAAGCACTGTGGCCGAGGGGATATCCCAAAGCATCTCAGAGCCTGCTTCTGCACATCTCCTCGGCGCTCGGTCTCCATGAGCAGCGTCTGATAGTAACGCCTGCTACAAGTGTTGCGCATCTGCTGAAAGGAGCCTCGCAAGCGAGAGCTGAGTCACAAACTGCCGTCCATCGACTGCATGCTTTTTTGTGTAGCCAGTCTTTCCATGCTCCGGATGGCGGCCGTCGCTGAGCGTGCGGACCTTCATGGTGGGCACGATTCCGCAGGAACATTGAACAAAAACGCGACCAAGCAACGAAAAGCGTCCAAGCATCGTGGAAGCGACCTAGGGCAAACAGTGACAACATGCCAGTCTTCTGCGCAAGCTGGCTTTTCTCAGGGCCAGTCCCATGCGCCACAGTGACCAAACCACCTGAGCAGCGCCCTCGGAATCCAACCGGACACGAAGGTCCAACAAAGCCTTGGCGAACGTTCTGCAAGCGTACATGTCATAAGTTGGCTTCGACCTCATCACGGACCATCTCTCAGGGCAATGCTACCATGAGACTGTCCTCGGCACCCACACAGCAAAACAAAAAGCAACGCGCGCACACCCACACACCTTGCTCGCCGCGACTCTGTGTTCTGCACCAACAGGTCAATCCAATCAACGCTTTTTCGACAGGCGCGAGTTTGCGGTAAAGCTGTGTCTTGCTCTCCTTTCTTAGCCTCCGTGGATCCACACACGCATTTGTCTTGAGGATGATGGGCCCTATAAGCAGGCGAACGCAAGCCTTCGAGCTCAAAGGCATCGGTGCTGCTGTTGTCACGTCGTACACTCGTCGCTCCATGGGAGTTTCCGCAGGATCGCGTAGTGGCTTCATCGCCTTAAGGGAGGCGGAGGCTCCCCCAACCTTCAGGCCGCCGATCTCGGCGGAGATAAAAAAGCACGTAAGTGCCTCGTGTGTCTTGGACATCCTCGGCCGAGACTTGCTTGACTGTCTCATCGTTGTAGAGATACCAGGCCCCCTGCCATGAGCGGATACACGATGTGTAGTGTCCATAGCAGGCACTACCAGCATGGATAATGGTGGCAAGCAAATCATAAATGGGAGGCGCTGGGTCGACACTTTCTTCTTCGTCAGATTCGGTGCAAAATCGGGTCAAGTCCAGGCCATCAACAGGAAAATGTATGGAAGTAAAGAGTCGGTTGCGTTGTCCATATTTGTATTCGAACCGGTTGAGGTGCAAGACAAGTACCGGAGGTGCACCGGCAAGCTGAACTCTACTCAAAGCTTCCACCCTCTTCTGGCACCCATTACAGAGAACAGCATTGTCTATTGAGAGCTGCTGTGGCGCTGTCAGCCAGTCGAAGCAAGTGTCTAGACTGTAAAAATCCTCAGCATCCCATGTGACTTTGTTGCTTGTTGACAACAACTGGTCCGGGGCTGGCTGGGCAGGATCTCCCCAGTGCACTACGAGATGTTCGCATTCACGGAGGGCGAGCTGGTCACTGTTGGGCGAGGCCTCGTGTCCGAGAAGTGTATCGGCTTTGGCAGCATTCCAGCCGGCACTTGTCTGGTACAAGCTCCAACCTGAAGCATCCTCCAGCTTGTATCTTAGCATCAACTGCACTCTGATGGCTTCAACAAGCTGGGCTTGACTTGTGATCCTGTCCTGAGTATCACACCATATCCACAGTCACCGCTTCTATTTTAACAAACACAGCCAACATTACAGCGACTGTTCTACGGCCCAGAGCTCACAGTTTCGACATTAGGAGACTGTCCATTTCGATAGACAGCCGCCTCTGTCCATGTTGTCGTGTTTAACACATTCTTAAATCCGACAAGCTTCCATGGCAAACAGCAACGGCAACCCCACAAGGATGCGGCCGTTCTGCCTCAGGTTGAGAATCAAAGCAAACGATCCGCAGCCGCTCAGGAAACAAATGTCTACTTTTTTCTGAGCCCTGCCTCAGGCTGTCCAGGCGGCAGTGCACGATGACTGCGGACTGTGCCCCAGCAGGTACGGCAGACGGTGCCAAGGCCATCGCATCGCACCAATAAGATCGAAGGTCTTCGGCAGAGTACTCCGATCCGAAGGCTGCCCTCAACTCATCAAACGTATATGCAACACCGTCATCGGGGCATACCCTTCTCTCGCCATCACCTGAGATCTCGGCTTTACCAGATCGAAGCTTGACACACAGAGCCTCGTCTTCAATTTCCAGCTCGTAGACAAGAAACGGACCTTTTGCCCCAGTCGGATTCAAGGCATCCTGCTCAGACCAGATTTGCAGGCGACCGTCCTCCAAACTTGTACACAAGCATACTTTGCGTGTGAGCCTGGCTTTTGTCGACACGCTGTCCAGGAGCATCTGACACGTCGCAGAACGCTCGACAAACACTTTATGTTCCACAATGGGCGATTCAGAGGAAGCAGCTGGTACGACAACGACTGCTACGTCGTCTTGCTCGCTGAGCTTAGGGTCAATGCTTGGCAATTTGACAGATGTAATCGACTCCACCTTTGCACTCTTGGTGCCGCAGCTGTTCTCCGGGCACGTGATAGTAGTCTTCAAAGATCCCGAAAACAAGCTGAGGGCGCAAAGCTGAGGGCAATTGGACTGGAGCTGGGAAGTAGCTACATGAATGCCGCCTTGGCCACCGTCTTGCAATGCATGTGAAGGTGAAGCTGCCTCCCCCGAGTCCTTGCATCCTTCTGAAAGGCGGTTTATAAGGAACTCCAAAAACTCCATCGCATCGTGCTGCTCCCAATCAGCAAACGAAGATGTGCAGCGGCTGAGGCTGTCCCTAAGAGCTGAAGGGCTTACCGCGTCGGACCTCTGATCCCACAAGGCCCGCATTAGCTTGTGAAACTCGACCACAACTGGGTCACTGAAGGCCGGCTGGCTTTGCTTTTCCGAAATCACGTCTCGAATGTCTGGGAGATTTGCCAAGCACTGCAAGGCAGTGTTCATGAAGCACGTGTTGCCCAGGTTGTATAAGCCGGCAGTCCGATCCCCAAGCAGTTGGTCATCGAGTCCAGTGCTGGAATCAGGTAAGACCGGTGCATTGCAAGGGCCCTCAAAGAAGTCCAATACTTCTTGCATTGGTGTCTGACGCGCGCAAGACCCCATTGCGATTCTCAATAGTTTTGCTGCCCCTGCGACGCTCGCGGGTTGTGGAAGCTCAGAGGTTTCCAGTGCAGGCACATTGACAGAGCAAGGTCGCTGGCTACAACAGCATCTCTGGAACAGACACGAGGGCAGATGACTGTTGAGAGTGTTGCCTGTTGGACTTGTACCGATCGTTCCTTCAATGCAAAGACACGTGTGCATGCCCTATTACATGGGCCTTGATCCACTTTGAGGTCACGAACCATCTGCTGTCACAAAGACCTTGGCTCTGCTGATGTTGACAAGTCCTCCGTAAGAGCCCTTTTCTCTGACTGGGCAGTGGTCGATGCAGCATGCCTGTTTCCAGGTCAAGCCTCCGACCTGTGATACATGCACTCGCTGTGCCTACGCCACATAAGCGAATGCAGCAACTTCATGCGGCATCTTTAACATCACTCTGTGGTGAAACTGCAGAAACTTGAAGTCGACGCACCCGTGCATAATTTCTAGACAAAGGTACTTAGACAAGCTGGAGGAAAGAATCGGCTCACCATCGGGCAAGATGCTGTCTGAGTTCGCCTCATGTCTTCATGCGAAGAACCAGCTGTGGATAAGACTTGTTCTTAATGAAGGTGATGACCGCACCATTCGGAATCACGGCTTCATTGCCCTTTCCCACAAGGGTTCCGTTGATGAAAGTGCCGTTGAGCGAGGTGTCTGCCAGCACGACGGCTTCACCATCATCCTGCAATCTCAGGCTGCAATGTGCCACGCTAACTGCAGATATGCCCAGAGACAAATCATTCGTTGCCGCACGTCCGATCGTGAAAGCACTCCCAATCGGACTGTTGAACTGCACAACCTCCGGTTTTTCATCTTCTGCCTTGGTGAGCTTGCCCTCAGCCCAATACTTCGGGCCTCTGGAGATTGGAGTTCCAATCGTTGCAGCTGTGGGCTCTCCCTCATTGCCGGATGCATCTGAGGCTCGGCCTCCCTCACCGGAACGTGAATCTGCAGCCGGCTGAGCATCCTGCCCCTGTTTGTTTGCAGTCTCTGCCTGGTCGCCTGGTTTGTGGAAAATCGGAGCCTGCTTTCGGCTCCGATCTCCATCCCTGCGAAGCTTGTCCGCTAGGGACAGGTCATGATCCACTGCTGCATCGCCATATCTCGCCGCATTTTCCTCCTTCTCATGGACATACCGCGAATCCCAATCCCAATCACCGAGGCGCTCGAAGCCACCCGCACTTTCTCGGTTTACGATCATGATGAACTGCCAGCGGCACCATGCATAGTCAGGCCGATCTTCGAAGGACAGATTACGCACGTAATTCAGATAGGCATTCAACTCAGGTGGAGCGGCCTTGCCCAGGATTTCCAGGGATGTACTCTCTTTTTTGTCCAAGATACGTTTGTACTTGTCCTCCTTGGTACCGCATTTTAGCCCTCCCAGATATCTCTCTTGCCAGGGAAGGTTGCCGCGGCAGAAATACATCAAAACGTAGCCTCAGTCAGGCAGCAAAGTGCGGTGGCTCGATGTCTTCTGCTGCAAACACACACTTTCGGGAAAGCTAGCTAGCACTTGCTCTACACTCAGCCAAAGGGGCCAATGGCTTCGAGATCGTCTCGGCGGCTCTGCTCGATCCCTCGGTGCGTGTTGATGGAAACATAGCGAGCTGTCCCTGTCAGCTTCCTGTCATTGCGAAAGGGAATGTGCTGGCTCGTGCGGGGGTTCCGGTAACGCTTGGCTAAGCCAAAGTCAATGATGTACACGTCGCCTGCTTTCTTTTGAACACCCATCAGGAAGTTCTCCGGCTTGATATCCCTATGCAGAAATCCTCGGGAATGAACGTACTCTATAGCATCAATCATCTGTTGGCCAATTGCCGCTATTGTTTTGTGTGTGAATTTGCGGTCACAATAGTTGAAGAGGTCTTCAAGCGATGGCCCCAGCAGGTCAATGACCATGACATTGTAGTCGCCTTCAACCCCATACCAGTGCACCGCTGGAATCTGCACGCCATTGGAGATCAGCTTGTAAAGCTTGGACTCGAACACCAGCAGAGGATGTTGCGCTTTGACCGACTCAAGCTTGATGGCAACGGGTGCGCCCGTTTGCACATTCACACCCATGTATATATCACCAAAGGATCCAGAGCCAATCTTCTCGGAGACCTGGAACTTGCCCGCAATGAGCTGCGCCATTTACGACTCTGGTCTCAATCGCATAAACGCTACAAACTAAAGGCCCCGTGGAAAATTCATCGACATTCGGGCCCATCTTGTTGCATTCTCTCGAGCCAGAACCAATGCAAAGTTATCGAACTGCTCGGCGCTGCATTGGGGGATAACGTATACACTTGCGAAAGCTGAGCACACACACGAACACACACGACGTAGGACCCGGACAACCAGACCTCGCGAGCCAGGAACCGGCTGCCCTCGAAGCTGCTGACAAGTAGCCAAGATCCAAATGACCTCTGCTGTGAACGTCTGACCTCAAACCTCATTTGACTCAAGCTACCAAGCTTTGAAAAATCCTGGGCGCCGCACGTTTGCCACACTTTGCGCATCCAGCGTTGCCACTCGAGGTTGCAGCAACTCCACGCACTCTTCAAAGATCATACTCGCTGCAACCTTGCCGCGGGCTTCGAACCCGTGCATCGAAACGGGTCTGCCCACGATTCTTTCAAGGCACAGTGTCTGGCTTCGCTCTGACATAGGCCCACCTGAATGGCTGGATGGCTGGATGGGCCGATGCAGCCCGAAAAGCAGAGAGGCCCTCATTCATTCTGCACTTTATGCGTCTTCTGCAATGCACGATGTCTCTTACAGCTACATGCAGTTGCAGGCACATGAGCCCGCACAACTCATCCAGGCGAAAGGTACTCAATCGTCCACAGGCTTTGCACGTCAGAGTGTCGAACACCTCTTTGCCTCAGGTGTTGATTCACAAACAAAATATTCCTTCAGTGTCCGCCAACGTGTCGGACTAGGAAAGCAGCCGCCTCAGTAATTCAACGCCGAGAAACTGGGGAGTTGTGTAGTTGCATATGCCCATGCAGAGTTTGCGATGTTCCTTGGATTGCACGCTCGAGGCTGTCTGCACAGTCGCGTCGGCGTCATCCGACAACATACCACGACGAAGTCAAGAATTTCAATTTGATTGAATGGACCGTCTCTCCCGCGTTGAGCGACTGGTTGTCAAAAAGGTCGATGTTCATGGAGATGAACTCTGCGAAGGTGTCGTAGAGACGCATGTGGGCAATGCCGACCTACCGAGCTTACGGCACGAGGACGTCGCCACATTGGTCCAACAACAGCAGCAGCCAGCTACTTGCGGGAGACTTTAAGAGCAGCTGCAAGAGCAAGCCCAGCTGCACCTTCCCATACGCCCACAACATGTTGGAAGCCATCTGTGGAGAGAAGTGCCGCCAAAGGCCGCTTTCGATCTAAGCAGACAAGTGAGCATCCAAACAAATCTGGCATGGCATGGTCCAGAAGCTCTGTCCTGTAGTCCCGTTTTTTTCGTTCCCTGGCTGTGAAAGCCTATAACGCTTTTCTTGTTTGCTTGCTTGCTTGCCGCTAGGGGTGTAGGTGCTGCACGCAACCCTTTGGCCCGAAGGCCTTCTCGCTTACCCGGCTTACCCCCAAGGCGCGCAACTGTCAGTCTGTTCGGCCCCGAATAAGAGCTCGCCGTTCCCCCACTTGCATTGCAACCTTCATCAACAACTTCCAAAAAATCAAACAAAAGCTGCGGTTATATGTGGGTCTTCCGGGGTATCTAGACGATGCCTTCCTCGGCCTCTCTTAAGAGCCATTGCCTAATGATCTAATAGCGGCAAGCCGGAAGAAAGGGCCACCTCCCTACACACAATTCAACCTACGTGGGCTTCCCTCCTTCTGTGCGTTGCCGAAAACTCCCATCAGCGACTTACTTACAGTTGTGTTTATCTTTTTATCGTTTCTTTCTCTCTCTTCTTCTCACAGGCATTGGGGGCGGGTCAACCCCCCCGGGCAATTTGCCCGCCCGCAGAAGGAGTAGCATGAGAGCTCGAGACGGGATGTTTGACTGAATCTGTCTTCTTCCCCCTTTGGTGGCTTAGCTTTCGGCGTTGCCCCCCGGCTGTCCAGAATCTCTTGGTTGTAGAGGAGGGTGCCCGCTTGCTGGTTGCTGGAAGAGCTCGCTGCCCGTGGGGTGGACCCTTCGCATCTGCCTCTCTCTTGACTATTTGCTGCCGCGCCACGGTGTAGTTCGCAAAGACTGCAAACAACTCTTCGTGGCAAACATCGAGTGTCGCATATGCCCAAACCAAGTTGGACACCTGCAATGGTGACCACACAGTGACCACACAAGCTCATCGTTCGGCAGACAGGGCATCTAAGCTTGCTGGCATGCCACACTTTGACGATCAAACGAGGAATAGGATTCGATCGCACGCTTTGCTAGCCTCATCAACATGTGCAGCAAACGAATCAAGCCGTGAGACACCCGTGGTGGAGAAGAACACAGCCAGGCCACATGTCGAAAAGAGGCGGGTTGTGGTTCTTGGACTTCGCAAAAGCCCAGCACAAGTTTGCAATGGTGTGCCTCAGCAAACATGTTGACCTCTTGAAGGGCGGCTGTGTTCTTACGTTCATGCATGCATGGACTAACAGCCTGTTGGGGATCTTTCGGAATCAAACTCTGCGACTGAAATAAGCTTCTGCCTATTGTGCCAGTTTGAATTTGTGAACGAATTGTGCAATTGTGCAGCAGAGTTTCGGCGGCAGGTCACTACAATCCATTGCAGCCGAAGCCAGCTGGCCAAAAAGCACTCGCTCTGCCATACCGGCTTTTGCGAATGCCCAAGCCGTCATGGAGATATCGATGAATCTTCCGGAGTTGCCTGGCACTTGAGCTGTGCAGAAAAGAAAAGACCACCAGACAATCGCCTTTGCCACCGAGTCACAAATCTTGCGTGCCGCTTCTTTGGATAGCGCTATCCAGAGGTCTCCACGCTCGCGGATCTGGAGCCTGCCGAGGACTCCAAGCAAACTCTGTTTCATCAGAGCTGCACCGACACTCAACGACTGCTTCCAAGACACTTTGCCAAAACCCATGCGAGCCTGTTGCAGCCGAGAGCTTGGCTTGTTTGCCAATGCTAACCGCTGCTAACCGGGCCCCAGGTTGGCCAACAAGCTTCTGCAGCCCATGGGCTTAGCAGCATCCGTCGGGCCGAAATCATCGATCTTTGCCAAAGACTTGTCTAGCAGTGCTTGGAGCATAGATGGGTCCTGGCAAACTTCGATGAGTCTGTGCAGGGGCCCCAGACAGCGAAAGCGTAAATCTTGGTCCTCCCAATCTTTGATTCTGGCCAAAGCATATGCCAGCATGGACAAGCCTGCAGTATGTTCAGACGGAACAACAGTAGACACGCAAGCATGTCGTGTTTGATGACGGAGGGACATCAACACCACGAAACGCATAATTACCACCTGAAGCTATGCCTGGCAGTCCAGTGTACAGTTGAAACAGCAGAGCTGCCGGTGCAACCAGTGATGTCAGCTTCAGTTCAACTACGACTAAAATCACGTCCAGCTCGAATGCACACTTTGTGTGGGGATGCATGGGGAGGCACATTCAGCTTTTCCTGCCTCCGATTACAGTTGCAAGACACTTGCTGATGTGTAGCAACAAGCAGGAGCCCAGGGTTAGCACTTGCTGTGTTTTCTACTTGCACTGTGTGCGCGCCATCTCAGCACAGCCTACGTCTGCACCAGGAACCTGCAAGAATCGAATAATTGCAGTGTCTGCACATGCAGATCTCGGAGGCCAAACCCAAACTGTATTGACTGCACAAGGAAACCCCACCTCGCGGCTCAAGTCGCGACATGGAGCTCTTCACGCGCTTCTGAAGCTCCATCCAAGCCTGAACGCTGCAACATGTGCGCCGAGTGTCTGCCTTTCTCTACAGAGGGCTGAGGGCACGTGCCCCTGCCAAGGCCATACAGCTGGCCCCCTCCAGCTTGGAGAACTGCTGGAGAAATCAAGGCACCGACCCGATTGTGCCAGAATGGCAGAAGGTGCGGGTCCTGCTGTCGACACTCAGGTCTGAAGGACGATATCAGCTGCACTGGTTCAGGGGCTCCTGTTCCACTTTGGGAATCTGAGCAACCGCGATTACAGTATTTCCCGCATCGAAGCGCTCGATCTCCTGGCGAATAAGCTTTTGTTGATTAAGGACTGCACTGGGCATCAACCGCAGAGAGCCGATGGCCACTGGCCGAAGACGAAGGCACATTGGCATGTGAGCATCGTCCTGGTTTACCAGGTCAAAGAGCTTCTGCAATGTCTCCTGGAAAGGCCGCTGGGTAGACTATTTCATCCGGAACCACTCATGGCGACCTGCTCCCTGATTGCAATGTCCAGCTGAATCTGGTTAGGATGGCGGACGCCGATCGATAAGAAAATAGGTGGAGGGCCTTCAAGCGACGTCTGCCAGGATTCCCTTCCCCGGCTGCGAGGTCGATGTGAACAACACACCGTGCCTTGCTTTCCCTCCTGCCATCTTTTGGCATTATAAAACCTCACGGCAAAGGCTCGAGCAACTTCCCAGCGATGCTGTGCTGCCAGTGCTTTCCGAGATGCGATGACATTGGGCCTGGATAGCCCAGACGCTTGGCCGACTGGAGGGCGGCATCTGGGGCTCAGCACAAGCCGCCCGCGAGTGTTGCTGTTCTCGTCCAGGCTGTTCCAGACAGCATGTGCTTTGTGCTCGCCAGGGTATCACATTTTTGGTTGTTTCTTCCTGGCCTTCCTGACCAGCCTGAGTGTTGTTTCTGTTTGGCAAGGCTTTCTGCTACATCAAGCCGCTAACAGCTGCAATTGTTCATTACATTGCCCATTTCATGCTGGACATCACTTCAGCGATATGTGGATGTCCGGTTGGCGGGACCGGCATCGTCTGAAGGTATTTGAAGCCGCTATTCTACATCTACTGAATCTACTGACAAAGGAAAGAGTCTCGTCCGTCGAAATGCCGACTCCCCAATTAGAAGCCGCAGCATCGAGCCAACAACTCAGCTCTCCATTGTCCGTACTCGGAAGCTGCATGATTGCCGATTGCCATCTCCACGGCATGCAGCAACCAGCCCGCCCAGTACTCAGCAGGATATGGGGGTTGCTCATGGTCGCGAGATGGCTCTCTGAATATCGAACGCTCCGCAGCCACCGTGCAGAGCTCCCTGTGGTCAGTTCGCCCTCGCCCCTTGCAGACACCACTTGCATTTCCGCGTGCGCGCATGAAGTTTTGCACTTTACTGCCTGTCGGAGTTGGGCATTCTTTGGCCTTTGGGAGGCAGCCCGATCACGCAGTGTCATGGTCGCTTCCTACTGCACCTGCCTGTGAAGTGGCATTCTTTACCACGCGGAAAAACAAGGTGCGCACAACGCACGACGACTTGGTGCCAGGTGAAACCTTGCAGGTGCCGAAGTACTGCCAGAACCTTTCGTGAATGCAGCTGGTGCGTTTGATGCGACGCCCCTTTCTCTCTATGAACTCCTTGGCATCGGGCCAGGATGGCCCGAGGGTTCCTGGCCACCTGTTGCGTTTGGGCATTCTGGGACTTTTGACTCTGCCCCCCTCCATGCCCTTCCCGGCTGGTCACGATCCTTTTGTCAGCCCAGTCGTCTGTGACAACCGAAGTTGATGCGGCCTTCTAGGCCGAAACACGGCGGCCACAAAAAGCACGCACCGGCTGTTGCTCTCTAAGCCTCGCGGGCGCTTGCTTTGAGCCCCCCAGGCATGTCCAAATCGATACGCAGGGACGGAACTGCTTCTTGCAGCACCCCTTCCCACACCCGCATCAACTCCTTAGAGGGCAGGCGGGGCGGCAGGTGTACGCATGCGCACGCTATGCCCTGCATGTCACTTGATCTCACTCCAATGCCATTTGTATGTCACTGCAAAAAGCATCATGGCACTGCCCAGTCTTCACTCGAGCATCTGGACGAGCCCCGAGTATCAAAGAGGGCTCCATGGCATCCTGCAATCGTCGGAAGCTCAGTACCTGCAAGCCTTAGCACTTCGAAAGCCCGGGTTGCGGCCAAACGCATCGACACGATCAATCAGCCGTGAAGCGTTCAGGAATGAGCGAGGCGTAGCTGGAACTCATCGGTTTTCCAGCAAAAGCGACATCATACTGCCGCATCGAGTCGTAGAGTTCCTAGGTACTTGTCTCGGTAACCCTCCGTGACGACAAAGCTTGGATCAGCTTCCTGCCGGGCTACTTCTCTGCTCGACTCCGGCACTTCCAGCTCCACTCCTGGCAGCCTCGACACTCTGCAAGTTTGCCGCCTTGGCTTGGCAGGCTTACATGTTTCACCCGTTTACACAGTTTCAGGATGCTCCGCGACATAGTTCTCCATCCGGGCGGCCATGGACAGATGTGAAAATGAGCACCCTGGACTACGCACGCCAGCTGCAGGACGCCATTTTCTTTCCTTGGCACTCACACCGGCAGAATCAAGCGGGTCCTTCTTGCCTGTCCGAAAGCTGAAACGGCCTAGGTGCTCAGAAAGGTACGTGATGACCTCCGTGGCTGACAGGCTACGAAGCAACTTGTGCTCTGAAACTCTGGGGCTCACTGAGCTGCTGGCCGTTGTTGCGGACTTTCGCTGCAGGCAGAAGATCCGCCTGAAGACGTAAATTTTTGCCGACATGCACAGGCCCAGTCCACTTGGCGCCTGCGCCAGTTCGCCAACTTCCCAAGGCTTTCGGACGACAGCTCCACTCCGGTATTGAACTTCCAGAAGTAGCCACGCATGATTGTCACAACTTCCTCTGACGCTGTCGCTGACGACCTGCACAGCGAAAACTTGACGAGGCACTTGGAATGCAAGCGCATCCCAGACTCTCAGACTTAGGCAAGCACAGCAGTCCTCGGCACCGCCTGCACCATCCAGATTTCCGCTGGAAGTGGGCCCTGCGTGTCGGAATCATCTAAAGTTCAAGGAAATCCGGCAGCCCACGCTCGGACCTACTTCCAGACGATGGCATGGCGGAAACAAAGGATCCAACCTTCCAGCTGCGAGCGCGCAGAACCCTCCCAAATCAGGGCGTTTATGCCAGCCTTGCCTCGTACTCGATGAGCTCTTCACAAGCTCCATCTAAATCCTTGAAGGAGACCTTGACTCGGCTATCTGTTGTCATGAATAAGAGATGCACACGTAGAAACATGCCGCAGAACCTTCAACTCCACGTCATCTTCACACTCCGTGGAGGCTCGATTTTGCCTGGTGGGTGGCCCTATCCAAGGCGAACCAGTCACAAGTCATGTCAGTCCATGTCCACGACGCTCAGTTTTCAAGCATTCTGCTCCATCCTGCTCGTCTTGCTTTTGCTCTGCAAGCACGGGGTGCCTTGAGACAACCTTCCTGCCATCGCATCTCACTACAGCTTGCTCGACAGGCCTGTGAGCACAGCTTTCGCGAAAATGTTCTTCAAAAGCAGTGGCAAGCCTTCGGTGTCAAGCACCAAATGCGCATGACCCACAGGCATTGACAACTTCATCTCTTGTGCCGCGTCTGGCTCTGCTATGAATATAGCATGAGCGTTGATCCTCCGGTCGTTTGTCAAAGCTGACGCTAAATCCTGCGGCGATATGCCATAGCCTCGGAGATTCGCATCTGAAACCAGGAAAACAAAGTAGTCATCTGCCTGTTCTTTGACAATTTCAGTCATTGCTCTGATGCCAGCCGAAAGTGTGTTGTCCCCACTGCGGGCGAAGGAAGCATGGTCTGCCATGGCACTAACAACGGCAAAGCGCTCTGCCCGATTGCGTGGAGGTTTGCCCATCCTGACAAATGGCAGCCAATCCGTCTCACCACTGTGGCCGACGATCTCATACAGGTACTTGTGCTCCAGCCCGAACAAACCCTCCATGACCATCACCATGGAGGCGCAAAGCCGATCAAGCCGTCCATCGCCATTGAAAACTGCCATCGAACCGCTGACGTCGACCACGAATGAGAGTCGTTTTGGAAGGGCTTGCGCCACAGACGGGTCCTCGCGTTGACCACGGTGCTTGAAAACAGTCTTCTCGCCAATCGCAAAATCCACAATCTTGCTGTCGTCCAGTTCGCCTACTGTCTTTCCTCGCAGCCAGGTCCTCTCCTTTTCTTTGGCTTCCACCGCTTGGAGAATCACCCGCAATTGCGTCACTTCCTTTTCCACTGTGCGGAAAAGCTCGTCATACTTGGCAATGTCCAGGTCAGCAAGCTCCAGCTCCAGCTTCTCTTTTCCGACTGCGAGCATTGCTCGCTCCCTGGCCTTCTGGAGGACCTTCCCGGCTCCCGCTCCTGCTTTTGCATCGCCACTGGAATCCTTGGAGCTCTGTTGCCTCGCCCCGCCCCCACGGCCACGTCCCAGTCGACCTTTTCCACGCTTGCCGCAGCGCCCACGACCTTTGCCCCTTGAACCTCCGACCATTCCTGGTGTGGAGGCTGATCTGGCGTCAACACTCGATTCGTCCGTCTCCTCGCCCTCTTCAGTGTCTTCGACATCAAGATCATCAGCTTCGTCATCCTCCGACTCGCCAGGAAGGCTTCGGCCCTCGCTCTCGAGGCTCTCGGTGTCGGCATCGGCGCCGGCCCCGCGCATGCTGCGATGGAGCGCTTCCTGAACTGCCAGCTGCCCTTTCCGAATCTCCAGGATGCGAACATGAGAGTCTGCAAAAAGAAGTGCCAAGCGCCCGTCCTCCATCTCGCAGCATGCAACGCAACTGGGCATTTCCATTTGCTTGCGAGGTGCTGCGGCCACAGAACCTCCTCGCCTTGTCAATAGCATTCCCTGCTCTGCCAAAGAGTTGTCGGTCCCGGCTCCTGTCAAAGACCTTGAAGCCAAGCCCAGACCTGGAACCTTGCCGAGGACAATGCGGCGCATTTGCCCGTTTGCGACATCCACGACCTCAAGCCAGACACAGCCCTGGTCCACCGAGTAGACAGGACCCCTGGAATCACTCAGCCACGAAACTGACACCAGGCTTTTCGAAGCGCTGTGCCAGCACGAGATAAAGTGCCTCGGGCTGGTCTGAAAACTGGTCGATGCCTGTACAACATCCTGAAGTTCGGAGAGTGTCGAAGAACGTCGGTATCCCATGATAGGGTGAGCATTGCCAGGCACGTCCACATTCAAACCCACTGCAAAGCTGCAGTACGTATCCTCGGTCAACAATACCTGTGAAAGCATGCTGGCGTCGCCGGCGTCGCAGTCTGACGGGTCGTGGGGAAGGCCAGCGAAGTGTGGCTGAAGAGAAAGCTCGCTAGGGTGGACTGGCGACCAGAAGCGAGGCTCTAGTTGGGGCTCCCAACGTGCGAAGTGGAGATGCGCCCCCAGAGACGACAAAGATGCCAGGTACGAATCAACATCGTTTTCGCAGTTGCCCGCCACTCCTCGGCCGCAGAGTTCGGAACTGTTGGTCGCAAGACTTGTCACCCAAAGCCTTATTGAGGTTGCCTCCGGTAAGCACCACGACTACAAGTGCCCTTATTGGTATGCTTCGCTTCAAGTATGTTTAGCTGTGTGACCAGCAGCCTGTCGGAAGAACAAGCTCGTAAAGCTGCAATGTCCCGCTCGAGTCGGCACATCTGAGTAGAATGCGCTCGCGACTGAGAACGTAGACTGCCAGCAAACCCATCTTGGCGGGCCTGCAGCTGGACATGTTTATGCGGCATGGGCATGGATATGGAGAGGCGTCCAGTGCTGCCCGGATGCAGATCCAAAGCAAGTCTTGCAACTCCTGCAAAAGCAGCCGAGTCGAAAGAGCCGCAGCGAACGAGCAGAAGCTCGCTCCCAGACTCCGCGTGGTAAATCGCCAAAGGCAAATCTGCCAACAGCCCGGCACAGACAATCTTTGCCTCTTGAGGCGAACTTGGGGGCTGCACTTTCAAGCTGTAAACGACCCCATCGGCAGGCCAGATGCTCAGATGTGCAGCGTTTCGCGTATCGTAGGTGCAGACACAGCCTCCCTTTGAATCCCTCACAGGAAGCAACGAACGACCAATTGCATAAGATGCACGATCCTTGAGCGTGCTGCCGGCTGCCAAGCTGATTTCACAGCAAGCTTCACGATGCACGTCATGAACGTGGAGAACCATCTGGCTACTAAGGATGCACAAGCACCCTTGTACAGATGCCATTCCCAGCAACGCTCCCAGCCAAGAACCGGTGATGGGGTCCTTGCCTCAGTCTCGCATGAACTCGAAGGAACCCGCGATTCTTGATCTCATGTGTGAGCGACTGACACTCAAAGTACTTCGCCAACAGCGAGCTACGAGCACTGTACAGATTTTGCACTTTTGCCCAGCGACACAACCAACTCCAATACCGAATCCTCTCAAAGCGAATCTGCACTGGACATGCGCGCACCATCACATCACCACAGGAGCAAAGTTGTGCACTGTGAGCCCCAACCCGAATACCCAGCTAAAGCAAACTGAGATTGAAGTTCAATTTACAGGGCATGTTCAGCTATCTTCCCAAGACCTGTAAACCTTTTCAACCATTCACGGTTTAAGCGCCCTAGAATCCTAGAACGTGGACCAATCGCACCTTGGTTTTTCGACGTGATATGGACTCCAATGGCAAGAAAGTAGCCTTTGATGACGACACCGTCCGTCGTGACGAAGCCCAGCGCCCACCAGCGATCCTCTTCTGAGAACTCTCTTGATCTCGACGACTTACTCTGGAATGGAAGCCAACCACCTGGAAGCACTAGCCGCTCCCAGACAAAGTTGCACATCACAGATCAAAGTTTTCTAATCAACCTGCTTCAAGGCGCCTGCAGCAAACCTTAGACCATGGACTTCTCTTGGACATGCGTGTAAACTCACATTTTCTTCACGACAGCCTTCAAACCGTCGCCAGCTTTCCAGCAAAGGGCTCTCCAGCGTCGCTCGTTGAGCCTGCTCGCCTGAGCCAAACACCGAACTCTTCCATAGCTGTGCAACTGAGAACTCGCAAGCCCAAAGAATAATAAAGAACACAGGCCACGCAAATCGCTGCCGATCGGTTGCTATGAGAGCGCTGGAAGGTGGCCACCTTCTCAGGTGGGCCGAGATGCACGGCAGCTGCAACCCGCGTGCGTCGCTGAGCCACGGCCATGCCTTGAGAGTCGGACGCCAGAGGCAGCCCATGACGGCGGAAAATGCTGAAGACCACTTGTCGAAGCTGTGCATCGAAGGCATCAAAGGCGAAGACGTTTTCCATGACACTGTCAATGGAGTCATCTGGATACACGGCTAAGTGGCGTACGATGTTGACTAGTTCTCGGGTTGAGTATGGGTATGAGAGCTTTCCATCTTCGACCATTTGTCGCAGTTCACTAAAAGATGCAGACAACATCTCCAACAACGCCACCGGAACCTGCGGTGCATAGGACTGCAGCATGGCGACCTCTGACGCCTGGTCTGGGTTCTGGACGGCATGGCATGCAAAGCAGTCCCCCATCTCACGGAAGAAATCGTTTCCCAAAAACGGAAATCCCGGGCGGTTTGCTAAGGCCACAACGAGGAAGGCCTCATGGATGTTCTGGTGTCGCACAAAGCGTCGGCCATCTGCCAGGAGGATCTCACCATCCTGCAGGAGTCCTTTAAGAGTTAGCACGACTTCCGTGGGAGCCTTGTCGAATTCATCGATCACAAGAACTCGACCGTTGATCATGGCCTTCACCAGAGGCGAGTCGTCATAGCACAAGAGGCCATTGCGCAAGCTTGGCACCAAGGTAAGCGAGCCCACAGTTGTGTCGCGGTGTAGCTGGATGTACTCACGCTCCCGGTGCAGTAGCATAAGCATTTTGTCGATGAGCTTGTTCTTGCCAACGCCCTGGTTGCCCATCAAAAGCAGGTGCTCAGAGGCTGCAATGTCGCGAAGCATATCGTGCAGTGCCAGAGTTTGCTGTGGATTGTGAAAGAACTGGGTTTCAGGGACCAGCGCCTTTTCAAGCGGAGCTTGTACTCTGCAAACAGCGGTTCCAATCCGCAAGGTTGGCTCTGAATCCATGAGGTCTGCTGCTTGAACAGCCATGCCAGCAGCATCCTGCAAGCGTGCTTGTTTGGAATGAACGCGAAACCCGGCTGTTCGCAGGACGGCCAACACAGCTCCGCCCTCAGCTGCTGGCATGAAATCTGTCATCAGAGCTGACTGCAGGTATGCACCGATTTCCGATGCAATATCAACAGTACTTGGCGCGGCTGCTGCCGTCCTTGCTGCACGCAGAATTGCACGCAACGACAGCATCACCGAAGGGTTGGCACCATCATCCTTGGTGCCAGTCCATAGCGATGAGCCGGAGTCTTGCGAGGCCTCATAAAGAAGCTGGCGCACGCGAAGCAGCGAGCCAACAACTCTGTCCGGGCAGTCAGGCACAGCAGCTGCAATGACAGGCGCAAGTTCTGGCTGCAGTGGCAGTGTGAAAAAATGAAAAAGCTGCAGCACTTCGTTTGTGAGCCAACTTCGACGGTGTGCATCATTGGGGGTCGCCAAAGCCACCAGGCGGAATGTTGGATGTGTGCAGCGCAAGCCTCTGCTGGAGAGCTGCTCCGAAGTCAAGCCGAGTGACACCAGAACCTTCCACCGCCATGGCGAGACAAAGCGGGTGCCATCATACAGTGTAACCTCGCGATCTTGAATTACTTGAATCAAGGACGCCAAACTTCCTGGACGGAGCTGTTGCAAGCCATCAAGCACGCAAAGACCACCGTTCTGCATCGCTTGGAGAAGTGGGGATGGCTCCCATGTGCTCTCGCCTTGCCTGTTTGTGGCCCTGCGTTGAAACAAATCTCGAGCTGTCATTTCCTCGTGCAAAAACAGTGTCTCCAAACGAGAATATCCCAAAGCATGCCCGAACTGCCTGGCAAGAAATGTTTTGCCTTCTCCTCTCGGGCCAATGATGCAAATGTCTCGACCGATCAACGCAGAAAGGAGCATTCCTGTCAGAATCCTTTGGTGGTCTGGTAGATCCAGAGCCACATGCTGGACCTTGTCCGGTCCGCGTCGGCAGCGAAATGTTCTCACATCTCTACAGATGCGAATCTTGACACATGCTTCTGCACCCTCCTCCACGACTTCCTCCAGAACTGGAGCGGCTGGGGCACCAGATGCTTCACTCTGAGGCTGAGGATGTGGCAAAATACTTGTAACCAGCTGTGCTGCCTCTGCTCTGAGGAGTCCACTGGCTTTACCAAATGGAAAAATCGCGCTCACTGCGTGATGTACCGACAGACCTGGTGCAAGCTCGAGCAGCTGAAATCAAAGACTCTTCACAGGGAAAGCAGGGTGAGCCGAAAGCCAAATTCCTTGCCTCAGTGCCAGATGTTTGCGCCTGCAGTTTCATGAGTGCCCAAAGGCCCTCATGAAAACTTAAGAGTTCTTCAACACACTCTGCCGAGGCATGCGGGGCATAATGCGTTTGCAGTTGAAACAGAAGTACGTCGAGCGGAACTCGATCAATGAAGCGAGCCTGAAAGCGTGATCGCAAAGGAGGATCCAATGGGTTGCCAGGAAAAGGTGGTGAAGGAACGCCAAGCGCAATGACTCGAAAGTCTTCATGCACGCGCACAAGCTTCAGCTGTTGTAGATGCTGCAGGCGGCTGCGGCCAGCTACCAAGTTGTCGTACCTCTTCGGCGCAACAAGGAAACGACCATCTTCAAGTTGCATCTCTCGGTTCTCAAGGAGGTTGTTCAAAAGTGGGAGTACGTTGCGCTCCGCCTTCTCCAGACCTTCAAGTATCAATACACGACCATTCAAAGCCGCTCGCACGACGGCCTGGTCAAACCAAATCACGGACAACGTCCGAGCACTATCCTGCTCGCTCACTCGAAGCTCACGTCGCATCTTGAGGTCGACTTCTGAGGTGTCTGGAGTCAGCGCCAGGAACTCGCACTCTCGACCTGCCAAATGCAAGGACATGCACATTCACACCTGTCAAGCGACGAACAGAAGCGGCCTGATGGCTTCACTCGAATGTATGAAGCATCCCCGACGCTGAACCTGGATATCTTAATTGTGAGTTGCCCGTGCAGACCACCTGGCATTTTGGCATTAAACGTTGCGGAAAGCCTCAGAAGCCAAAATTGCCAAAATCGGAATCATCGGCCCGGAAGTGACACCGTTTCAACCACGCCCAGCAACCTTTGATCCGAAAGCATCGTGCGCTGACCCACTTCACGAGAGCCTTTTTTTCACCGCCGGCTTTCCCCTAAAACTGGGGGAGCCAGGCACCCCTAAACCCTAAGTCGGGTTTCCCCTGCAAAATTAAGAACCTCAACTGAACCCAACAAATTCAGTATGCGCTAAACCCGAAACCCAGCCTTGAAAACCACCCCCACACTGCAACCGCAACC